CCCAGCCAAGCTGTGAGGGATGAGGGCTGGAGATGCCTATCAGCTTATCTTCAGCACTTGGATTCACTTTGATTTTCACTAAAGCTGTGGTCAGCAGTTGCTTAGTAGGGATTTTCCAGGTAAAGTTGCCTTTTTAATATTGTTCTGGCTTATAAATTCATAATTCCTACTGAGTTTAAATGATAAAAGGACACAGATATAGTCAAAATCGTCTTCCTCTGAGGAGAAACAAGTACTGGTGCTTCTGTAATGGTGAGAATTAGGAAGAGAGGAGGATTATTCCCTGATGGATTTCCCAGGGCAGCCTGTACCAACACTCACCAAAGCCAAATCAAGGGATAAGGTGAACTCAGAGTCAGTTGTAGGCTGCTCCTTCCTCCAGCTGCACGGAAAAGGTGACCTGAGAGCAACTGGTGGCAGGAATATTCCTTACAACAACAGCAGGCCCTGCCCAAGGAAACAGGAATGTTTGTGTGGCCTCAGGAACACGCTAAGTAGGTTATTTAATATGCAAAGGGTGGAGAATACTTAATATATTAACACACTGGTTCCATTTATTCCTCCTGGCTTGGATCAACTTCTCAGCCTGTAGGCAGTTAAAACAGATGGGCTGAATTTGGGTAACATTCAGACCTTGAGTTGGAGCTAAAAATGGAATTTCATTGGCAAGAAAAGTAGGTCAGAAAGCTAAAGCCCCTAGTCCTAAAATGATGAAAGGCTTCTAATCAAGTGCTCCCTATTACCATTCATTAAAGGGAGCAGGGGAAGAAAGATCTTTGGAGCCCTTTGCAGTGGGGTTTCAGTGAGGATCCTGCTCCCTGCAAGATCTGTTTTGGTGGGAGATGGGATGGGCAGCGATTGCCAGAGTCCTGCGGGATGGGAATGCTTTTCTTCATGGGCACGTAACAATTTACCCCGTGCTCCAGTCTCGGGAGGGCAGAGAGGATCTGCCAACCCTCAGTTCACGTCCCCACGCTGTCTCTGTCCTGCTGCCTCAGGTTCTGGGCTCTGGGGGCTCTGCAGGCTGGGACTCACACAGAGCCGAGTCTTTACAGGGCTTGCTTTGCTCTCCATCCCTCGCAGCGTGTCCAGCTGCTGCAGCCTGGCTTTGCTGGCACTGGCAGGGATGGTTCTGAGCAAATGGGGAGCCTGTCCCAGTGCTCCCAGTGCTCCCAGTGCTCCCAGTGCTCCCAGTGCTCCCCGGGCTCCCAGTGCTCCCAGTGCTCCCCAGTGCTCCCAGTGCTCCCAGTGCTCCCCAGTGCTCCCAGTGCTCCCAGGGCTACCAGGGCTCCCAGTGCTCCCCAGTGCTCCCAGTGCTCCCAGAGC